ACCAAACAGAAAAATATGAAGAAACAAAAATTCAAAAAAATGAGGAGAGGCTTAGGAACCTCCAGGACATCTTTAAACACTCCAACATCTGAATTATAGGGGTACCAGAAGGGGAAGAGAGACAGCCATGAGTGGAAAGCTTATTTGAACAAATAATAAAAGAGAACTTCTCCATTCTGGCAAAGGAAATAGACTTCCAGGAAATCCAGGAAGCTCAAAGAGTCCCAAAGAAGTTGGACCCAAGGAGGAACACGCCAAGGCACATCATCATTACATTACCCAAGATTAAAATGAAGGAGAGAATCCTAGAAGCAGCAAGAGCTAAGGGGACAGTCACCTACAAAGGAGTTCCCATCAGACTGTCAGCGGATTTCTCAAAAGAGACCTTACAGGCAAGAAGGGGCTGGAAAGAAGTATTCCAAGTCATGAAAACCAAAGACCTACAACTAAGATTGATCTATCGAGCAAAATTTTTATTTAGAATGGAAGGACAGATAAAGTGCTTCTCAGATAAGATCAAATTCAAGAAGTTCATTCATCATCACCAAGCCCTTATTATATGAAATGTTAAAGGAATTTATCTAAGAAAAAGAAGATAAAAAAGGTGAACAGTGAAAGGACAGCAAACTCACAGTTATTGACAACCACACTTAAAACAAAAGCAAACTAAGAGGACAGCTAGATCAGGAGCAGAACCATAGAAATGAAGATCACGTGGAGGGTTAGCATCAGGGGAGTGGGAGAAGGAGAAGGGGGGAGAAGGTACAGAAAATAAGAAGCATAGATGGTAGGTAGAAAATAGATAGGGGGGAGGGTAAGAATAGTAGGGGAAATGTAGAATCTAAAGAACTTGAGACACGTGTTCATGAACTAAAGGGGGGAATGGTGGGGGAGGGGTGTGCAGGGGGAGGGGAATGAAGGGGGGAAATAGAACAACTGTAATGGCATAATCAATAAAATAAAAGTATATTAAAAAATCGAGAGATAATAAATACATTGATATATTTGACTACATAATTATTTGAATACAAAGAACCATTACAAATTGAAGAACAATTGAACATTTTGCGTAAAAGAAACCTGGCTGCTGCGATGTCATCCTACCAAGTAAAAAGCTGGACAGACTGGAAAATTAACAACTCTTCTTAAACCCTTGAGAAAAGTGAGGACATGGAAAACTGGTCCTCCCAAAATTGGAGAGAGAGGTGAATACCTGTAGTCACTGCTTACTGGAAAGCAACCTCATGAGGCCCAATGTTCTTAACAAGAGCTGTTCTCAGGAGAAGCTGGTTAACCAGAGGCTATCCTGCTGAGATATCATCAGAGTCTAATCAGCCTGGAGGAAGGGAAATACCCAACTCCAGTCCAATCTAGCCATTCTTTCCTACCTAAAGTGGAGAAAAGCAAAGTTCACATTCATAGGCACTGAAAGATTGAGACCTAATCACAGGACTATCAAATGTTTCTCCTTCCTTCACAATTTACCACCGCAACAGTAAAGGCCTATTTAGAGCAGCTCCTTTTATTGGCTACATCATCCATCTATCAAGAAAAGATTACGAGGTATTTCGAAAAGCAAAAAATACAATTTGGAGAGACAGAGCAAGCATCAGAACCAGTCATGGCAGGGAAGTTGAAATGACCAGATAGGGGAGTATAAATAACTATGATTATTATACCAAGGTCCCTCATAGATAAAGGTGGACAATGTAAGCAGAGAGTTGGAAATCCTAAGAAACAACCAAAAAAAATGTTAGAGTGAAAAACATGATAAGAGAAATAAAGAATGTCTTTGATGGTCTTATTAGTAGATGGGACATGGCTGAGGAAAGAATCTCTGCTTAATGATATCTCCACAGGAATCTGCAAAACTGAAAAGCAAAGGAAACAAAGACTGAAAGAAGTAGAACATAATATTCAAGAACTGTGGGACAACAATAAAAGGTACCATGTTTATGTAATGGGAATACCAAAGGAGATGGAAAAGAAAGGAACAGAAGGAATATAGGAAACAATAATGACTGAGATTTTTTAATATTAATGTCAGATATCAAACCACAGATCTAAGAAGCTGGGAGAAAACCAAGTAGGATAAAAAAGAAAACTACAGCTAGGAACATCATATTTAAACTACAGAAAATCAGAGATAAATTAAAAATCCTGAAAGAAGCCAGAGGAAAAAATACCTTCCCTATACAGGAACCAAGATAAGAATTACAACTGACTTTTCAGTTACCATTCAAGCAAGAAGTGAGTAAGATAAAATATTAAGATTTAAAGAGAAAAAAATTTACTAACCTAGAATTGTGTAACCTGTAAAACTAGCCTTCAAATATGAAGGAAAAATAGACTTTCTTGGATGAAAAAAAATGGAGTAAATTCATTGTCAGTAGACTTGCCTTGCAAGAAATTTGAACAGATCTACAAAAAGAAAAGAAGAGCATCAAAGAAAAAATAAGTTAGAATGAAATTAAAACTATTATTTTTATCCTTATTGATCAAATAAGTTGTTTAAAATAATAATAGCAATAATGTATTCCATCATGTATGCTTACATATATGCCATATATGTGCACGTGTGTGCTTAACCGTAAGCGAAATGACCGCGAGCAATGATCCAGGGATGAGAGGGAGGAACCAGAATTATTTTATTACTATGAGGGGCTCACACTGCCCATGAAGCAACATAGTAGTATTATTTGAAGGTGCACTTTGATTAACTGTAAATATATAATGCAAAAATCTAAGGCAATCACTAAAAAAAAGTTTTAAAAAAGCATAACCAATGTGCTAAGAAAGATGAGAAAACAATGATATGAAAAGCTCAATTAAAACCATACAAAGCAAAAGAAGAATGGAAGACAAAAATAGGAACAAAGAACAAGAAAAACAAATAGAAAACAATAACAAATATGGTAGATATTACTTTACTATATCAATAATTACTTTGAATGTTGACAGTTTAAATGCACCAATTAAAAGACAGATTGTGAGTTTGGATAAAAATGAAATCTACTTTAAATATCAAGACACATAGAGATTAAAATTAAATAAGTAACAGTGAATATATTAAGAGATAAATGTACTCCAAATTTTAATAATTGTATAATGGCTATGTAAAATGTTAATACCTGAGTAATTGGTGAAGGGTATATGTAATACATCATAGAATTTTTACAGTGTTTTACGAGGTATGAGGTTATTTCACAGTGAAAAATTAGAACATGAAGAAGTGAATAAAATATTAATTTAAATGTATCTGTATGACATAAAAAATCTCTTTAATATATTGCTTTTAGCATAATTTATTAAATTGTACTAAAATTTACAAGGGTTCAATTTAAAAATAGTGTCTTAATTTTAAATAATATATTACAAATGGTATAATATTGCAGTTTTAATCATTTATCTGCCAATAAAAATTTAAAGAAGTTTTTGAAGCATATATTTAGTTAAAAGGTAGAGAACAAAGAATATATATATGTTCAGAAGAAAACACAAGGAAGTAAATTTTCAGAAAAAAATATATTGTTTTCTAAAAGTGTCTAGGTAAAATCAATGAATTATGTTGTGTAAATAAATGTTTCAAAAGCAGGAGTTTTCTCTTGGACACAAAATAGCATTTTATGAAACATTTAAATGACATTTTGAACAACTCCATTTAGGCTGTTTCAAAGACTCTTCAATTAAAATAGTTGCTCAAATGGTGCCAATTCAAAAAAATTGCAGTTAAAATGAGCCAGTTTAGCTCTGACAGATATCGTTTTCAACCCTAAATATATATTAAAATTATGGATTCTAACAAAAAATTGCCAAATTGATGCAATTACTTGGTCACTGTAAAGTTCTTATAAAAAACAATGTAGGTACATTTGCTGAGAGAACATCTTTAAAAAACCTGTTAAACAAAGGATTTTCATCTGGTGTGATATATTTGGGTGCCGTAATATGTAGCTATCTGGGAATCTTTTGAATGGTCAGGTATAAAGTTGTACTGAATGTTTTGCCTATAACTAGAATTTATGAATTCTGTCTTCTGCAACACAGATTTATGTGCAGGCATCACAGTACACCCTAACTGTGCCTGGGCAGCCTGGGACCCAGTTGCTTACTGCCATGTACGTGGGCAACACAAAGGTTTGTAGCGGCAGGAAACAGGTTTTTATCAACAGGGTACCCAGTTCCAGGGGGCTGAGAGCATTCCTGCTCTGAGCCGACGTCGTTCCCAAAGCACAGAAATTTCCTTGTTACCAGAAACATTAAAGTCCAAATCCATGCCTGGAAGTTCCCCATTATTGCTTATCTGTCTTTTTGTATTTGCGTTTTTAAAATTTTATTTATTTATTTATTTATTTATTTATTTATTTATATGGAGAGGGAAACATCAATGGGTAGTTGCCTCTTGCACACCCCTCACTGGGGACCTGGCCCACAACCAAGGCATTACCCCTGACTGGGAATCGAACCTGCAACTCTGTGATTCACCAGCTGGCACTGAATCCACTCAGCCGCACCAGCCTGGGCGCTTATCTGTCTTTTCGGAGCTCAAGGACAATACAAATGGGTCTCCACCCTGAGGGTAGGCTTTCTCTCTCTCTCTGGTGTGTGTTGTATTCAAATTGCGAGCGAAAGGAATCCCCGAACACTGAGAGCGGTTTGATGGTAAATTTATTGGCCAAGTTTTTTACCTGCGCAGGGGCGAACTTCCCAAATGAGACCGTGGTCTCGCGGCTACGCAGAGCCGCCAAAGTGGAAGTCGCGCCTGGCTTACAGACTACTGGGTTTTTATAGGGGCAGGCAAGCAAGCAAGCAAGGGATACAGAAGCAGATATGGCGGTTAGCTATTGGCTCAATCAAACTAAGGCAAAAGCTCCTGATTGGACTGCTGTTGGCGGGCAGCTGGTGTTGGCGCCTAAAAATTTCCTGGCCTTATTTGGACAGGCCTCTATATGCTAGCCTTATTTGGACAGGCCTCTACATTCCCTCCTCTTTCTTATTAGTCAAACCCTTGACTCATGCTCCTCTTGAGGAAGGATTGTATAGGGCTGAGACAATACCATAAGTTTTACTGTTTCTATTCTATCTTTAATAAAAGCCATGAGCTTGTTTAGAATTATTGGGCCTATGGTCAGGGCTAATAGGAGGATGATCAAGGGGCCGGCTAGTGCCGATATCAATGTATTTAGCCAAGGGGAAGTCTTAGATAGGGAAGAATACCAGGAGGACGACTCATCCTCCTGTTCTCTACTTTTAAGTCGTCTAGTGAGTATTTTTACACTTTCTCTAATTATTCCTGAGTGGTTGGCATAGAAACAACAATCTTCTCCAAGAGCTGCACAAACTCCTCCTTGTTGCAGGAATACTAGATCTAACCCCCTTCGATTTTGGAGTGCTACTTCTGCTAGGGAGTCTACTTGGCGCTCTAAATATTCTACTTGCTCTTGGAGTAAGGAGACGTCTTTGGAGAAAGTCTGTGACAAGGCCCTGAGACTGTTTTCCCCATGGATCAATGCTCCTGCTCCTACAGCAGCCGACCCTACGACACCGATAGTGGCGACGATGGGAATTAGCAATGGGACTCGCTTGGTTCGAATGGGGGCATGTATCAGAAAATCAGGGTTTCCCCCATATAAGTACACTTGGGGAATGATGTAAGCACTAACACATAGCTCAGGATTGGTTGGTACTAGACACTTGAAGATACCTTGAGTGCAGACAAACCACAGTCCTTCTGGAGCTAATGTAATAGTCAAATTCCTAGGGTCTCTCGGCAAATGCTCTTGGTTAAGGCAATAGTCACTATAGTTTGAGGCTGCAAGGGTATAGTTCGCTAGCAAATAACAGGTGCCTCGCCCATGGAATTCTGCTAATGTGAGGGTACTTTCAAATGTACACTGTTGGAAGTCTTTCATTTGGTCCTGGTCCGGGTTCTCGGGAAGGGGTTTTGTCTTAGGCACCCCTTCTCCTTCCCCGGTGGTGTTAACCCCTAAGCCTACATAGAATGGGGGTCTGGGGCTGAGACATAACCAGCAGGACTCGGTTATGTTAGGCTGGGTATTGTTAAAATATGGAAACACTTGCTCTAACAGACTTAAGGCTGATTCCCCTTGGTGGTGTGGTTTCTCTATTAAGGGCTTAGGATCTCCGAGGGGAAGCCTTAAGTTGTTCGCACCCTCGAGTTGTGAATTTTCTATGGTCTCACTCTGGTTTCCGCTGGCCCCTATGGGTGTTTCAAGCGTTGAGGGGCCCTCGCCTTTTCCCGGACTGGTGGTGGGTTTGGGTGGGCGAGGTGGCAGCTTTCCCGTTCCCCCTCTTAATAACGGTCTCCCCTGAGTGGGCAGCCTTCTTACTGTAAAGAAGGTCCCCGGGTCTGTACCTCTGACATGGAGCCTGAGACCCCAGGTGTGACCTTTTAGCCACCCTGAGTCTCCTGGGTTCAAGACTGTCACGGTAGTAGGGTTACACCTGTTTGCTGCGCAGTCCGCATCCCATCCTCTACCCGGTTCTCTGCTTTTATCTCGGGTAAAAAGAATATGTTTGTCAGTTCCTCCTCCCAGTATCCAGCCACCATTCGTGAAGGTCTCACAGCCCCATGCCTTGCAGTAGTAATCTCCATGTGACCTACATGTGAGCCTTTTCCCTGAGGGGGGCTCTGGGCATCCATAATGAGGGGTGTACCAAAGTGCCCTGTTCAAGGAGGCTGACAAGCCCTCACTACAGACTCTACCTGCCCTTGTACCACCCTCTAGTGGGGCTTGAGGACTTTCTGGTAATAATCTCATATCCCCTCTATCACAGAGTGTGTCATCAAAGAACTTTGAGAAGTCTGTACGTAGAGCCACCGGGCCTGTATCCCAAGTGTAATTGGTAGCAATGACTGTACCATCCGCTGTCCTTATGAGTACCCACTCCTGTTGCTCTAGGCCCTGACCTGGGGTTCCACCGAGGATCAGGAGCCCTATATACGTGAAAAGGCAAGCTTCATGGGGTTGTCTGGATCTGGTCGGATCCGCCATGTTCGTGATTCCTCCTCTGGTGGTTGGGCAGTCTTAATGTGGGACAGATGGATCCAGTAGGGTTTCTCCGCCACTCGTACAGCGGAGGGAGTGCTTAACAGTACCTGATATGGTCCCGTCCAGCGAGGCTCTAAACTTCCCCTCCGATGATTAAGGATCCATACCCACTGTCCAGGCTCCGGCTGTCTAGGCCTTTTCCCCTTTATTTCCTCAGATTCTTGGTGTTGGGCTTGTTGGAAGGCGCGCACCTCATCTCGGATCTCTTGTAGCGCCTGTAAGGACTTGAGGAAATTATAGTTAGACACCTCTATTTCTTCTGTGGACAACTTAGGGATTAAGGGTACTGGTTGTCCATACAATATTTCATAGGGCGTCCACCCTTTAATGTACGGGGTGCACCTTACCCGAAAGAGGGCGAAAGGGAGCAGCTCTACCCAATTTTCGCCGGTCTCCTCTTTTATTTTTACTAAAGTTTCTTTCAGTGTCCTATTCATCCTTTCTACTTGTCCTGAACTTTGTGGCCTATAAATACAATGGAGTTTCCAATCGATACCTAATCTACTAGCCAATTCTTGTGAAATTTTGGAGACAAATGCTGGTCCATTATCAGACCCTATAGCTATTGGTATCCCATACCTGGGTATGATCTCTCTTACTAAGATCTTGCAGACCGTGGAAGCAGTCTCTCCCTTAGTGGGGAAGGCCTCTACCCACCCAGAGTAAGTATCTACTAGAACTAGCAGATACTTATATCCTGATTTTCCTTTAGGCATTTCGGTGAAGTCAATCTCCCATAGTTCTCCTGGGGTGCTCCCTCGGTGCCTCACGAAGCGGGGCAACTTCTGATTCTGGGCGTTCACCTTTGCGCAAGTCTTGCATCGAGAGGTAACGGAGTGTATTACCTCCCTCAGGTGTGGTCCCAGGTAATGCTTCCTAATTAACTGTTCTATTTTGTTCTGCCCTAAGTGGGTACTAGTATGAATGTCCTGGACAATTTTTGTTAGTACCCCTTGTGGTAAATATAACTTAGTATTTGGGAGTATTATCCATCCATTTTCGTTTCTCATCCCTCCTAGTTTTGCCCCTTCTTGCTCTTCCTCTGGGGAGTACGCGGGCTTCGGGGGCAGGTCCGGCTGAGGAACCAGGGGAAGCAAACTACTTTCTTGGTCCGTGGCGGCTTCCCTGGCGGCAGCATCGGCCAGGTTGTTTCCTCTTATGACCGGAGAATCCCCCTTCTGGTGGCCTTTACAATGAATAATGGCGACCTTCCTGGGCAACCATATGGCCTCTAGGAGGGAGAGGATCTCTTTTCGGTTTTTAATGTCCTTTCCTCCTGCAGTTAGGAGACCTCTCTCTCTGTAGATGGCCCCATGAATATGGGCGGTTGCAAAAGCATAACGGCTGTCAGTATAGATGTTGGCTACTTTCCCCTCTGCTATCTCTAGGGCCCTGGTTAGCCCTATCAGTTCCGCTCTTTGTGCAGAGGTGCCTGCCGGCAACGCCTTCCGCCACAGGACCTTATCTCCTGTGGTCACTGCTGTCCCTGCGTACCGCTGTCCATTCTTGAAAGCTACTCCCATCAGTAAAGAGAGTCAGGTCTGCCTTTTCGTATGCCTGATCTCTTAAGTCCGGGCGGGAGCCAGTTACCGTGTCTAAGACTTGGGTGCAGCTATGGACGATCTTGGCATCTGGTATGGGCAACAGGGTAGCTGGGTTCAAGGCAGTAGTCTTGAGGAACTGTACCGCTGGAGGGTTTAGCAGCTGTACCTGATACTGCGTCAGCCGTGCATTAGACAACCACCGGTCAGGGGGGGCCCGTAGGACCTGTTCGATATAGTGTTCTCCTATAACTTGTATGTCCTGCCCCAAGGTCAACTTGCCTGCTTCTTTAACTAGCAGCGACGTGGCCGCAATAGCTCTCAGGCAAGCCGGCCATCCTGACGCTACAGGATCAAGTTTCTTCGACAGGTAGGCTACAGGCCTCTTCCATGGGCCCAGAGTCTGACTCAAGACGCCTAGGGCCGTACCCTCCTTCTCTGCGACGTATAGCTGGAAGGGCTTAGTTAAATCGGGCAAAGCGAGGGCTGGGGCTGAGACTAAGGCCTCCTTCAAGGCCAGGAATGCTTGTCTCCCTTCCTCAGTCCACGTGAAGGAGTCCTCCTTGCCTCTGGTTAGGTCATATAAGGGTCTTGCTATGTCCGTAAAACCTAATATCCACAGTCTACAATAGCCTATAGCCCCCAGGAATTCCCGTACCTGTCTTTTGGTGGTCGGTTCGGGAATCTGTAGGACTGTCTGGATTCGTTGATTTGACAAGGCCCTCAGTCCTCCCTTCAGGTCATACCCCAGGTAACTCACAGTTTGAGTCGCGATTTGAGCCTTCTTGGCTGACACTCGGTAGCCCATTCTTTCGAGGTCTCGGAGCAGGTCTCGTGTAGCTGATTCGCATTCCCCCTGTGTCTGGGCTGCCACCAAGATGTCATCTACATACTGGAGGAGGACTATTGAAGGATGAGTTCTCCTGAACTCCTGGAGGTCTTTACTCAGGGCCTCATTAAAAATGGTTGGTGAGTTTTTGAACCCTTGGGGTAGTCTGGTCCATGTGAACTGCCCCGTTAGTCCATTATCAGGGTCATTCCATTCGAAGGCAAAAATTTCCTGACTCTGGGGGGCCAGAGGTATGCAAAAGAAAGCGTCCTTTAAATCTAGAACAGAATAATAGGTATGAGTCGGGGGCAACGAGCTCAAGAGGGTATACAGGTTTGGCACAGTGGGGTGTATTGTCTCGACTCGAGCGTTTACTTCCCGCAGGTCCTGTACCGGTCGGTAGTCCTGGGTCCCAGGTTTTTGGACAGGGAGAAGGGGGGTGTTCCATGCAGACTGGCATTTTCTCAGAATGCCTGCCTCTAATAGGCGTTGCAGGTGCCCCGCAATTCCCTGCCTGGCTCGTGCTGGGACAGGGTACTGTCTGATCCGGACCGGGTGGGCCGTACTGGCCAGCTGGACCAGCACTGGCGGTTGGTGGACAGCCAACCCAGGTGGGTTTGTTTCCGCCCACACCCCTGGTACTTGCGTTTGCAGTCTCTTCAGGATCCTGTTTTCCTTCTCCTCGCCGTCCGGGAGTATCGCCAGCAAGTACTCTTCGGACAGAGGGACCGTCACCTCTACACTCGTCTCCTCAAGTGTTTCTGAAGGCTTAAAGCTTATAGTGGCATGAAGTTTCTGTAACAAATCTCTCCCAAGTAACGGGTACGGACAATCTGGAATAACTAAAAAGGAGTGAGTAATAGTCCCTTGTCCCAAGTTGGTGATCCTGGCAGTTGTCCAGGGATATGCTTCGGCCTTACCCGTTGCTCCTATAATCTTTGTGGTTGCCTTTTGACTCTGCCCCCGAGGTTGCTTCAACACAGAAAATGTGGCTCCCGTGTCGACCAGGAAGTCTACTGGTTTCCCTTCGACATTCAAGGTGACCATGGGCTCCTGGGAGCCAACAAGTATAGAGCCCTGGCCCCGTCAATCTAAGGTTTGAAGCAGTACCGCAGGACTGACCTCCTTTGCCCGCAGTTTAGGGCAATCTTTCTTCCAGTGCCCCTTTTCCTTGCAGAAGGCGCATTGATCTTTGTCTACTCTTGGCCACTGGCCTTTTGGCTTTCCTTTTCTTTGTTCTTTCTTCGGTTCTACCTGGGCTGCAATTAAGATCTTTGCTACCTCTTTCGCTTTTCCTATCTCTGGGTCATCCCTATTTATATATACTTTCTGTGCAATCTCTAAAAGCTTGCTAATATTCTCTCCTTCAAATCCTTCAATCTTCTGTAATTTCTTTCTAATGTCGGGGGCTGCCTGGGTTGCAAAAGCGATATTCAAAAGTCGCCTGTTCTCAGGGGCCTGGGGGTCTAGTGGAGTGTACACTCGGTAGGCTTCAATTAGCCTTTCTAGAAAACTGGCGGGGGACTCTTCTCTCCCTTGTACTACCTCACTAACCTTATTGAAATTCGTTGGTTTCCTAGCCGCCGCCTTCACCCCCCTCAACAGAGCCCGGCGATATTGGAGTAGTGCGTCCCTTCCCCCGCTCGTGTTGGGGTCCCAGTCTGGGGGTTGCTCAGGTAACATGTCTAATACTTCCCTCCTCCCTCCCGCGGTTTCCCCTTCTTCTCCCATAACTGCTTTAATAGCTTCTCTCATGATTCTATCTCTTTCTTCTGAAGTGAACAAAGTTTGTAAAATTTGCTGGCAATCATCCCATGTCGGCTGGTGGGTTCTAAATATGGTCTCCAACAGGGAAATTAATCCCTGTGGCTTTTCAGAAAACGGGGGATTTTGCAGTTTCCAATTGTATAGATCACTGGTTGAGAAAGGGACATATACTAGCCGCGGTGGTGCATGTAATGGGGCGTCTGGAGCCGGTGGCACCTCTCTGAGAGGCAAAATGGCGGCGCCACCTGGTTTTGGCGCGACCGTTTCCAGCAAAATGGCGGCGCCATCCTGTCTTGGCGCCAAACTTTCACCCCCATACCGAGTACCGCCGCGGGTATGGGGAGGGCTCTGGACTCCCTCCCTTTCCCCGCTCGCGGAGTCGGGCAGGGGTTGGCGATATGGGGGAGGAGCGGAAGGGGCCAACAGCGGGTCCTCAGGTACTTCAGGCAAGACAGGATATAGCTTCTTCCCTTCCCCGTCTGCCTGGTCCCGTTGAGGCCGGCACCCTTTGTCTGTCTGCAGACGGGGAGCCTGCCTCGGTGTCATCGCCACGCAGATGGCCCTTCTCCTCC